GCTTTTACTGCTGCTCTAAGTAATACCCTTTAAAAAAAAATACTTAATGTTATTTTGTCATTGTTTCTTACTGGTATAGTGTCATGAATTGAATTCTGTCACCCAGAAACTTGTATCTTATCCCCTGGTACCTGTTTCAAAATAGAGCCCTTAAAAATGCTGTCTATGAGTATGAGGTCATACTGGAGTAGAATGAGTTCTTATGCCCTTAAACTTATCTGAGTGACTTCCTTTAAGAGGAGAGGCAGACAGAGAGCAGGCCCTATGATTGCAGTGTGCTGCAGCTTCAAGCCAGGAAACCTGGGCCTACCAGAGCTGAGAGACACCAGAATGGTTCCCTAAAACCTTCTGAGAGAAAATGATCCTCCCAGCACCCTGAATTTGAATTACTAGCTGTGAGACCTATTTCTGTTTAAAGAGCCACATACCACCTAGTTCTGATACTTAGTCACAGTGGCCCTAAGATTAGAAGCTAAAATACAAAGATAATATTTGGGTATTGGCCTTGTAGCTAGAGACCTTGTTCACTTACTCATCCCAGTGGTTTCTCTATATACATACTAGTACATACACATTCTCATATAAGCACATCCTCCTGTATAATCTTTCAGTTTTTTCTTTTAGCTTTCATTGATAATCCAGCTGGAATTGATTTATATATATGATGAGTGTAGAGAATGGACTCTAAAAACACTGCTGTCAAGTTGGTGCCGACTCTTGGCTACTCTACAGTACAGGGAAGAACTGCCCATTTCCCAGACTGTAACTCTTTACAGGAGTACAAAGCCCCATCTTTCTCTGAGAGAATGGATTAAGATTTGAACTTTTTTTCCTATATGGACGTCCGTTTGATTGAGCATCAGTTAACAGACAAGACCATTTCTTCTATTCCCTTGCAGTGGCACCTTTGTTTTGATGTGGGTGACCAAATCTGTTTGCGAACCCTCTGTACTATTTTTCCATCTGCCCTTGAATTAGTACTTGAATTCTGTCATCAGTAAATTATACTTTTATTTCTTCATCTCCACATGTTAATTTTATTTCTTTTCATTGCCCTACTGCACTTGCTGTAAGCTTCAGTACAGCATTGACAAGAAGTGATGTAGATTCTCTCCTTTCTCAGAGAGCTGTTCAAGTTTTCACTGTGAGGTGTAGGTAGGAGGTTTGAGCTAGGGCTTCTGGGGCGCCTCTCATCAGATAAAGGACATTTCTTTCTAATACTCATTTGCTAAGAGTCTTGCATCATGAATAGGTGTCGGTTTTTATCTAATGCTATTTTTTTCCATCTTGGTAGATGGTTACGTGGCTTTTCTCCTTTATCACAGCAATGTAATTTACATTGATTTGGTTATAAACTTTGCACCTGTGTTCATGAAAGATGTTTTAGCCTATCTTGTGATGTTTTAATCAGAATTTAGTATCAGAGTTATGCCAGCCTCATAAAATGAGTTGAGAAATAAACACATCCTTTCCTCTGTTCCTATTCTTTAGAAGAGTGTATGTAATGTTAGTTTCTGCCTCAGATATTTGTAAAACTTCACTTGGGAAGCCTTCTTGGCTTAAGAGAATGTTCTTTGTGTGAAGATTACTAATGTGATTTCTTGACTTCATAGGGGACTATTCAGATTTTTAAATTTTATTTTTGTGTCTCAAGGAGTTCTCCCATTTCATCTAGAATTTCATGTTAATTGATAAAAAGTTATCCATAATATTCTTTATTTTTTCTGTGGTATCTGTAGTTTATCTTTTACATTCCTAATGGTAGTTTCTGTCTTCTCCCCCTTTTCACATAATTAGTCTTGCTGGAGATTGTACATTTAAAAAAAAAATTTATTGGGGGCTCTTACAGCTCTTACCACATTTCATACATATATCCATTTTGTCAAGCATACATCTTTACATATGTTGTCATCATCTTTTTTTTTATTCTATTTTTAAAAATAGTTTTATTGGGGTTCTTACATCTCTTATAACAATCCATACATTCATCCATTGTGTCAAGCACATTTGTACATATGCTGCCTCATTTTCAAAGCATTTTCTTTCTACTCGAGCCCTTGATAACAACCCATTTTTCCTCTTCCTTCACCCACCCTCCCTTATGAACCCTTGATAAGTTATAGATTATTATTTTCAGTGATTGTACACTTCATGGATAAGAAAGGAGCTGTCCCTAAACTGAACTGAGAAAATAAGTTTCTGTTCTTTTTGGGGGGATTGTTTTATTGAGGGCTTTTACAGCTCTTATAACAATCCATACATCCATTGTGTCAAGCACATAAGTTTCCGTTCTTTAAAGCTACTCACTTTTGGTTATTTCTGTATGGCAGGTAACTAGGACAATTACTTAAAACTGAGACTCTATTCCAGGGGTCCTCAAACTACAGCCTGTGGGCCACATGTAGCCCGCCGAGGACATTTATCTGGCCCGCCGGGTGTTTTTGCCCCATTTGTTTTTATACTTCAGAATAAGATATGTGCAGGGTGCATAGAAATTTGTTCATAGTTTTGTTTTGTTTTTAACTATAGTCCGGCCTTCCAACGGTCTGAGGGACAGTGAACTGGCCCCCTGTATAAAAAGTTTGAGGACCCCTGGTCTATTCCATAATTTTTTGTGTTATACATTATTTTTGTAATCCTGTAATCCCATTCCTTTCCTTTAGATTTATGCTTTTTGTTGGAGTTAATCTTTTAATAAAAGCTCTTTTGTGACAATCTCTTCGAAGTCAGCTCTCTTAGTCTTTGAATATCTAAGAATTATCTGCCTTTATTCTTGAATAGCCATCCTGCTGAATGTTACCTTGACAGATAAGTTTTTCTCACTTCTTTGAAGATAATAATTACGTTTGGCATTGCTTAATCTGAGGAGTTTAGCACCCTCCCCTCCCCTCTCACTCTCATTCCCATACCCCTAATGGCTCCACTCTTTTTGGTCCTTTTCTCTGTTGTTCAGCCCTGAAATCCACTCATCCTGTAGGGTTAGCATCTTCCTTAACTTCTTTGTATTTCTCTACCATGACTGGTTTATGCAGGAGGAAGGTGAGGCTTTCTGCTGTCATAAAGGCTTACAGTTTGGAAACCCAAAGCATCAGAATCCACTTGATGGCAGTGAGTTTTTCAGCTGGCCTATCAACATAAAATAGCTTGATTTTGTCACCACTGTGCCTTTCTTTGAGCCCTGCTGGTGCTGTGCTTGAATTATTTGACTGCTAGCTATAAAGTTCGCTGTGTGAACCCACTAGCTGCTGCAGGGGAGGAAGGTGTGGCTGGCTGATTCTCTGAAGATGTGTAGCCCTGGAAATCTCAGTTCTACTTTGACCAGTAGGGTTGCTATGATTTGGAATTGGCTCCATGGCATTGGTTTGGTTTGGGTGTCTTGTTTTCTTAAAGAAAAGGAAAGGAGAGGGATACAGAAAAGCACATGCTATTCAGATTTAATAAATGTTAATGTTTTTCCATGCTTGCTTCAAATAGATATGTGTGTGTATATATGTTAAAGATATACATAAAGTTCAGACTTCATTCAATTCCTCTTTCCTAGCAATAGCTATTCTTTTGATGTTGGTGACTTTCACTCATGTAGTTTTTTTTTTTAATCGTTTTATTAGGGGCTCATGCAACTTTTATCACAATCCATACACACATCAATTGTGTAAAGGACATTTGTACATTCATTGCCCTTGTCATTCTCAAAACATTTGCTCTCCACTTAAACCCCCGGCATCAGGTCCTCATTTTTTCCCCTCTCCCCACCCCCACCCCCACTCCCTCTTGATCCTTTATAAATTATTATTTTGTCATATCTTGCCCTGTCTGACGTCTCCCTCCACCCACTTTTCTGTTGTCCGTCCCCCAGGGAGGAAGGTCACATATAGATCCTTGTAATCTGTTCCCTCTCGTGTAGTTTTTTAATATAATACTTATATGTGTTTATTGTATTTTTAAAGAAATGTATATAAATGAGATCAAACTTATTTTTAGTTAACTTGTCTTATTGTTGTTGTTGATATAATTGTTTTGCTTTATTGTATGGATTTTACTTTTATTTTTCCTTGTGCTATGAAGCCCCGGTGGTGTAGTGTAACTATAAAGTTACAGTCTTCGTAGAAACCTATGGTGGGAGGTCTCTATGAGTCACATTGACTCACAGTGTGGCAGTGAGTATCCCTGTACCGGCATCAAAAAAGGTCATTTTCAATTAGAAATTTTGTAGAAATAAACATCTTTGTCCACATCTTCTATATTAGGCATGTGTCCTGGTGCACTTGTATGTGTTGTTATAGGTCAGTGGTTCTCAACCTTCCTCATGCCTCCACCCTTTCATACAGTTCCTCATGTTGTAGTGACCCCCAGCCATAAAATTATTTTCATTGCTACTTCATAACTGTAATTTTGCTACTGTTATGAATCAAGCGACCCCTGTGAAAGGGTGGTTCGACCCCCAAAGGGGTTGCGATCCACTAGTTGAGAACTGCTGCTATAGGTAATATATTTAGGAATGCAATTGTTCTGTCATGGGAAATGTACATCTTTAACTTACTGAGTTTTTTGCCAGTTAATCTAAAATATCTGATCCAGGTTCCTCTCCAAATTAATTGTATTAGACTTTCCATTTTTCTATTATTTGCTTTATTTCCTAGCTTCGTGGCTGTAAATGAAGCTCATTGTTTGATTTATCTTTCTCATTACTGGAGAGTTTGAGTGTTTTTTCTTGTTTATAGGCCGTTTAGGTTTTGCTATTTTGAGTTGTCTTTGGACAAATTTGGTTTTGATTTGTTATGTTGTTCGTATCTGGCTATTCTTTACTAGTTCTTTTTGTTTCTTTAAATATATTTCTTTAAAAATGTACTTTCATTTCCAGGCATTTTTTAGTTGTTTGATGGTTTGTGCTTTTATTTCAGAGTATTTTCAGCATAAACGTTGAATGCTTCCTTGGTCAGACTAGTGGGATGAGTGTTGATACTCCCTCGCCCTAAATGTACCTTTTTTTCCTTTCTCAGATGTTTTGAAACAACTGGTCACCATGCTTAGCAATTAGCAGGCACATGTGAAAATGGCAGAAGGTGACAATAACGAAGAGGTAATTCACTTGAACAACTTCCACTGCCACCGGGGACAAGGTGAGTGAGTCATTAGGTTGGCTCTTAGTTTCTTCTTCTTTACTGCATTGCTTTTTCTCTTAGTATTACAGATAGAGCTTCTTAAAATGGACATTTTGCACCATTTAGAATCCTAGGATGTTTCATTTTTAGGCTTCTGGATATTGGAAATAATTTGTTCAACTACAATATGTGTCAAATGGCTGACACAAATGAAGTTTAAGAGGGTCAGTATGAGTTGGAATAGATTTGATGGCAGTGGATTTTGAGTTTGGATGGCATGTCGATTGATAAGCTATTAACACAAAAGTTACAAATGCACAGTCATTGGAGTCTAAAATATAGGATCATGGAAACAGTGGCAGTTCTCTGATTTGAAGTGGCTTCAATCGCCTTGAAGACAACGAGTTTGGGGTTTGGGTTTGCAAAGGTCTTCTGGGTGCGTATTCTCTAAAACTACCGAGGGTGCTTGCTGCTGAAGCCATCTTGGTGTCATACTATGCTAAATTTCTATTTTACTAGAAAATGCTGGTGTAACCTCATGAATTTTAGGAACCATGCTCTTTTGTTTTAGACTTATAGCTAAAGTTTTGGTAAATTTATAGAGTCATTAAAAAAGGGTGGGTACTTGCAGTTCTTAAATGGTTATAAAATTTCCTTTTAAATTTTAATTCACATTTAAACTTGGGCTAAAGGAAATAGATGCTGATAAGTAAGAAATAATTCATACTTATGCATCTTGTGCAAGCAGAAACTTCATATAAGAGAATGTTCTGGTTTTTCCGTTGCTAATATTTTGTGTTTTACAAAAATTATTTTTAAGGTAAATTAAAGGCTTTTTCTGTGCCTTAAAATTAAGGACATTTTATTAAGCAAATAAATTGAGTAAAATAATTAAAATAGCTCAATGTATGCAAGTTATAAGTATAAAAATCAGTGCGTTTTAGAACATTTTAACCATAGTATGGAGCCCTGATAGTGTGGTAGTTACACATGGCTGCGCTCTGCAAGGTGGGCATATAGAAACCACCACAAACACCACGGGAGAAAGACTGGGCTTTCTAGTCCCCTAAACAGTTATAGTCTCAGAAACCAGGGGTGGGTTGGGGGGTGGGTGTGTATTGCTATGAGTCAGCATTGACTCAATGGCGGTGAGTAGTTTGTTTTTCTGGAACAGTAGCATGTAATTTAGTAGTGATTGAGACTATAATTGTGATTCAGAAAGTTAAATTTTGTTATAACATGAATATATAATCACTACTAAATTTTAAAAATGTGTCTGTATAGTTAATGTTAAGGTTGTTGCTTTTTAATTGAGTCTTAAATATACTTGAACAATGTTTCCTTAAGAACAACCAGCTCTTTTTTTCAAATTACTGACTCTGAAGGTGTATCTTCTCTTAGATGTTATGTGCACTTTGCATCTAGCACAATATTTTTTTTCAGGCATGAAAGTTGTTTTTGTTAGCAGTGTTAATAATTTTTATTAAGGAAACCCCGTAATTTTTTTAATCGTCTTTTAATAAGTGCACATGTTTTAAGTGTATAGTTCAATGACATTTGACAAGCGAGTGCACCCATATAACCACTGCTTCCATCCAGACAGGTTTTCTCTGCAGGTGCTCCTTATCCCATTCTGGCCTCTGGAACCACTGATTTAGGGTTTTTTGTTACCATAAATTTTCATATAAATGAGACTATTTTACTCTTCTGTATCTGAATTCTTTGGCTCAGCGTGATTTTTTAAAAAAATAAGATTCACTTAGACATCGTAGTAAATAGCAGTAGTTCATATATTTTTAATGCTGAATCATATTCTACTTTCCTGCCCAGGACTTAAAATCCAATGGCTTTAAAAAATGTAGGTGACCAAAGAAAGGTTGACAATACACAGATTGGAAAAGATGCATCATCAAATAATCATAGACACTCTTTCTCACCACAAAAATAAACAAAATAGGGGTTTGTATGCCAGAATAGTATCAGATGAAATAGACACTTGAGCCAGAAGTATTATGAGAAATAATAATTATAAAAATGTCTATGGACTAGAAAGATAAAACTTAATTTCAAATCTCTGCACAATTATTAACATGATGTTAAAATATGCAAAACAAATTGATAAAAACTAAAAGGAGAAATGGATGAACACACCTCGTTATCCCTTTAGAATGGACCCTCATGAGGTAGAACTTCCAGAAGGGCTGACTGAGGAACTTGGCGAATCCTTCCCCTAAAGCATGACAAATCTGTACAAAATGACCAGAACAACCACTTAAGGACTGGAAACCGGCCCAAAGCATGTAAGAATTGAAAAACATTTATTCAAGGAAATCTACTGAATCGTGAAAGTCTGTGGTAATTTAGCCTGGGGCCACTTCATTCCCTCCTTTTTCCACATGCAGCTCCTTTTGTTCTGAATGGTGGGGTATTGATACCTGAATGAGTGGGGCTGGCCCCAGAAGACTGCTTGTAAAAGGGGCTGGCTGGTGGCTCTTTGGATCAGAGTGTGGAAAATTCCATATTCAGCAGCCATATCATAATACCAATCTCAGTGACAATGAGGGAAGATCAGTATTTCGGCCAGTTGAAGTTTTGATAAAGGTTAGGGCAAGCAGTAAGTCATTGAGAAATTTAACAGAGTGATTGGAATGAAGTAGCCAAAGAGACCTTGATAAGTTCTATGTATCCTTGATTATTTGTAAACATAAGGCAATATATGTGTGTAGGAGAGACCTAGAGGGTCCTAGCAAGTTATTCATCCCTGGCTGAGTGTGAAGCTTTACTAATTCTTTTATGCAGTAGCAGAAAGCAAAAGGCAGGGTAGACTTAGAAAGTGACTGACTTAGAATGCTTTCTGTAAGCCACAGAAGATCCATTGGTAAAACCTGGGAAGAACAACACCAAAAAACACCTGAGCAAAGATAATTATAGCTGTAGGATGAGCCCACTTAAAAAGTACTTTGCATGGAAATAAAACCACAAGTAGCCACCATCCTTGAGGAAAGAAGATTAGAATCCAGAGTTGTAGTGGGTATATATTTAATAACCTACTGTTATCAAGTTTTATTCCAATTCATAGTGATCCTATTAGAATTTCAAGTCTGTAAATCTTTTTTTTTAAATCATTTTATTGGGGGTTCATACAGCTTTTATCACAGTACATCCATCCATCCATTATTTCAAGCACAATTGGATATTTGTTGCCATCATTGTTTTCAAAATATTTTCTTTCTACTTGAGCCCTAAGACTGTAAATCTTTATGAGAACAGATAGTCTCATCTTTCTTCCAGGAAGTGGCTGCCAACCTTTGATTAGTAGTCTAATGTTTTTCCTCCACAGTTGTGGGATATGAAAAAGCTGTTCCCCAGCTCATCTCCCCCATATATGTCAGAACTAGGACACTGCTTGCAACTAATGGTAAATGATCGTCTAGATAGCTCCCTGAAGGCATTCAGTCATCCAGAGCAGTCAGACTACTGTCTGGTCCACTGTAGGTGGGGCTCACACCCTATTGATAGGATAGTGATTGTTTCCCTGGAGAGCTTAGAACAGGTCAAACCTGGTCAGTGACATCCAAAGTTAGACTGCCATTCTGAATCTAGGATCCGCCCATCTTCTCATGTATATCTCCAATCCCTCCCCTTCCTATTAAGCGTATACCCCTAAATCACCCCCCTCCCCTTAGTGTATTAGCTATGTACAACCCCGTCCTGTGACATATGCCTTTACCTGTAATCGGGGATGTATGCACCAAAAGATATATAACCCTTGGTTAGAAATAAATCACTCTCAACTCCAGCCCTGTCCCCTGTCCTCTGGTCCTCTTTCCCTATTCCCTCTCTCCTCTCTTTCCTGCCCTTCCCACGTTCCACATCCCCACATAGACCACCAAGCGGGGCTGAGGTGAGCATGCTACCATGAGATGTGTCTGTCTCCTTCATTTTACTTTCTCTCTTATCTTATTCCATATGACTTTACTATAATCTTTATATATTATAGCTGTCCAATTGCGCCTGCCGGACCCATGATGGTTTGTTAGGGGCTGGCTACTCTGATACACAGTATCACTCTTAAAGATACAATTATCAAGAAATTGTGAGGCATACAAAGAAACAGGAAAGTCTAACTCATACATCAAAGCCAAAAAAACTCACTGCCATTGAGTCGATGCTTACTCAAAATGACCTTATAGGACAGGGTAGGACTGCCCCCTGTGAGTTTATGAGACTGTGTGTTTTTTGTGGGAGTAGAAAACCCATCATTCTCCCTTGGGGCCGCTGGTGTTTTTGATCTGCTGACCTTGCAGTTAGCAGCCCAACAACATAAGCACACCACCACCAGAACTCCTTGGCTAATAACACAGGGAGGTAAAAACAGTCGATAGAACTTGTCTCTGTGGAGATCCAACTGTTGAATTAAAGAGACAGATTTCCAATCACATAATAAATATGTTCAAAGAACTAAGCACATTGCTATTGAGTAGATTTTGACTTATGGTGAACCTTATGTGTTACAGGGTAGAACTACTACATAAGATTTTCCTAGCTGTAATCTTTGTGGAGGCAAATCATCAGACTTTTCTTAAATGACACTACCAAGTGAGCACAAACCTCCAACCATTAGGTTCATAGATGATTGCAAAGTTTGCTCTACTCATGGATTTAAAAGAAACCAAAGTTTTAAAAATATTGCAATACAATGAAAGTTCTAGTCAGGTTACTCAACATCAGATCTGACCTGACAGGTGAACAGGCATACTTGAGGATGGATTGATAGAGTTGATCCTGTCTGTAGAGCCCAAGGAAAAAGAATGGGAATTGGGACAAAAGTACCAAAGGAATAGGAGCCCCATAAGGGAGAGTAAAGAAGAAACAATATCTGGAAACATTTCAAAATCGAATAAAAATGTCAAATCTACTCATCTAAGAAACTCAGCAGGCTCCAAAAACGGGGGTGGGGGGGTGGGGGGGAAGTACACTGGGTGCACTGCTATCCTGAGATACACTTTGGTTTCTTCATGGATAATCAGTGATTGGGGTTCTGGCTACATAGAGTTGAAGAAGAAATGTGAGAATCTCATCACAATGTAGACTTGAAAGCTTCTCATCTCTGCCTTTAGAACCTGTGTCCCTGAGAAAAGATTGAAGTTGTCAAGGATTTTGTCTTTCTTGGATCCACAATCAATGTTCGTGGAAGTGAAAGTTGACATCAAAAGACATATTAAATAAATCTGCTGCACAAGACACCTTTAGAATATTGAAGAACAAGGATGTTACTTTGAGGAGAGGACTAAGGTGCACCTGACCCAAGCCCCAGGGTATTCTCCCTTGCATCATATGCGTGTGAAAGTCGGACATTGAATAAGGAAGACCGAAGAAGAATTGATGCATTTGAATTGTGGTGCTGGAGAAGAATATTGAAAGTACCATGGACTGCTAAGAGGACAAACTGATCAGTGTTGGAAGAAGTAAGGCCAGAGTGCTCCTTGGAGACAAGGATGGCAAGATTTCATACTGTGGACATATTATCAGGATATACTTGGTAAAGTGGAGGGGCAGCGGAAAAGAGGAAGGCCCTCAATGAGATGTATTGACACAGTGGCAGCATCAATGGGCTCAAGCATAGGAACAGTTGTAAAGGGTGGCACAGGATCTTGCACTGTTATGTTCTGCATAGGGTCACTATGAGTTGGAGCAGACTTGATGACATCTAACAACGATAGCATGTTCTATGCTTTTTTTGTTTTTTAATCATTTTATTGGGGGCTCGTACAACTCATCACAATCCATACATACATCAGTGTGTCAAGCACATTTGTACATTTGTTGCCATCATCATTCTCAAAACATTTGCTTTCTGATTGAGCCCTTGGTATCAGCTCCACATTTTTCCCCTCCCTCCCTGCTACCTCTCCCTCATGAACCCTTCATAATTTATAAATTATTATTATTTTGTCATACCTTTTTTTATTTTGTCTTACACTGTCCGATGTCTCCCTTCACCCACATTTCTGTTCTCTGCCCCGCCCCCCGGAGGTTATATGTAGGTCCTTGTAATCGATTCCCCCTTTCCACCTGTTCTGTGCTTTTCAACTATTAAATTGAGTTGCTGGATGACAGACCCTCTGCTGTCTCTCTGCTGAATCGCTTCACCTGTAATGCTCTTTTCCAAAATTTTATTGAAATCTCATATACTATCATTGTCTTTCCTAATGTGTGTATGCAAATTTCTGACATTTTCGTGGAGTTTCAGGAGATAATGATGCTTTTAATAATTTGGGTTTATCTTGCCAGATTTAACTGGAAGTCCTTTGTAATGCGCTTTTCAGGGCCTGGATTTAGTTCCTTGTTAATATTTATTAATTTACTGTGAAATGGAGCTATGGCTTGGTGAAAAAACATTGAACCTGAAATCAGTGTGTCAGGCACTGTAATATAAGCTGTTTATAGGGACTTTCTCTGTTAACCCTCAATTATTTGAGTTAGGTGCCATTGTTACCCCATTTTACTATTGAGGCAGTGGGTGATGAAAGAGGTTAAGTGGTAGCACTTCTTATTTATCCCTAGCATATGTGGTGGGACTGAGATTACCCCAGGTGGTCTGACTTGAGATTCTACAGGCTGACCCACTGCTGTAATGGCCATGTCTGCGATCACCACAAGAATGAAGTGAGATTGGTTTTTAGGTTGCTTTATAAATTGTAGTGTGCAGTAAAATATATGCGGCATTAAGAAAGACATTAGAGCTTTAATGGAGGAATTTCAAGTCATGATAATGATGTCTCTTTTTTGTTGTTCGATCCCATTGAGTGGGGTTTTTTTTGTTTTGTTTTGTTTTTTTATATAATTTTATTGGGGGGGTTCATACTACTCTTATCACACACAATCCATACATATATCCATTGTGTCAAGCACATTTGTACATTTGTTGCCATCATCATTCTCAAAACATTTGCTTTCTTCTTGAGCCCTTGGTATCAGCTCATTTTTTCCCCTGCCTCCCTGCTCCCCACTCCCTCATGAATCCTTGATAATTTATAAATTATTACTATTTTGTCATGTCGTACACTGTCTGACGTCTCCCTTCACCCACTTTTCTGTTGTCTGTCACCAGGGAGGGGGTTATATATAGATCACTGTAATCAGTTCCCCCTTTCTACCTCCACCTTCTCTCTACCTTCCTGGTATTGCCACTCTCACCACTGGTCCTGAATTCATCTGTCCTGGATTCCCTGTGTTTCCAGTTCCTATCTGTACCAGTGTACAGATAATTATGTCTCTTAAAAAAATTTTTTTTAATCTTTCCAACCTTTTTTTTCATTGCCCATTCTAACCTTTAATATTCCCAACGAGCCAGACTGGAGGGAAAAAATATGTGTTACACAGTAATTAATATCTAACATGATATCATAAAAATAGCTGTCTTATGTCTTCTAGGTCACAAAAGGGTAGGAGAAGATCAAGATCAACATCCTAAGGCTGATCCTTAGGAGGTATAGAGGTCAGAGATACCTCCATCCTCCACTCTTTTTACCAATCTGACACCAGCTGTCCATCCCACAGCACTCTGGGCTTTTCCGCTGAGTTTGATAGTTTATTGCATTGGCCACACGGAACTCACATAGTGTGGGGTTTATTAGGGAAGTAACAAGTCACAATTCAGGATCTCAAATCACTCTGGATTCAGTTCTTCAATCAAGATAATAACCTCTTCTTAGCAGTGCCTGTAGCCTTGCCTTTTTTTCTCTGGCCCTTGGCCTCTGAGCCCTGTGGTCTCTGCCATGCTTGGGCTAGAGGATGGCAAAACTAACCAATTCTACTTAATAGGATTCCGTATATCGTATTTGCATAGTCCCATCCAGTCATTTTGTAAACGTTGCAAAGACTGGTTAGAGCAGTGGTTCTCAACTTTTCTCATGCCGCGACCCTTTAATACAGTTCCTCATGTTGTGGTGACCCCCCAACCATAAAATTATTTTCATTGTTACTTCATAACTGTAATTTTGCTAGTGTTATGAATTGGGTAACCCCTGTGAAACGGTCATTTGACCCCCAAAGGGGTCTCGCCCACAGGTTGAGAACCACTGGGTTAGAGGGACTGTATTAATTAATTCACTGTATCATATTTATCTTCGTGCTCAAAGAGTCGAGGCCTTAATCATGATTACACATTTAGATGATTATTTTAACTCTAGTTATATTTAAAATGATGCCAAAATAAACTCATTACCACCAAGTTGGTTCCAACTCATAGCAACCCTTTTGGACACAGTAGAACTGCACCTGTTTGTTTCTAAGATTGTCCTTTTTTTTTTATTTTTTATTGTATGTGTTTTTTTTTGTTTATTTTTTTAAATCAATTTATTGGGGCACATACAATTCATAACAATACATAGATCAATTGTGTAAAGCACATCTATACATTTGTTGCCCTCATTATTCCCAAAATTCCCTTTCCTCTTGGGTTCCCGGAATCAGCTCATTTTCCTTTTTTCCCCTCCCTAAGATTGTCATTTTTTATGAGAGCAGAAAACTTTCTCCCAAGGAGCAGCTAGTGGTTTTTAATCACCAACAGCTCAGTAAGTAACCCACTATGACACCTCACTCAAAAAACTTACTGCTATCAAGACAATACTGACTCATAGCGACCTCCTGTGAGTTTCTGAGACCATAACACTATGGGAGTAGAAAGCTACATCTTTATTCTGCAGAAAGGAACATTAGGAAAGTTAAATTACTTACTGTCATACTAACAGATGTTAACTTGGCTTTAGGCTTGTGTGTCTCTAGGTCAACATTGAACTAATGGACTGAAAGTGATTGTGCTGGCTCCTAAGTAATGATGTTCTCTGCTTTCCTGTAGACTGGATCAATGTCAGAGATGGACCCATCACCATATCTGACTCCTCTGATGAGGAAGGGATTCCAATGCTGGTCACTCCAGCCCCTCAGCAACACGAAGATGTGGATGATGTCATCCTGACAGACGTAAGTTCACTTCCCCTGGAGAAGCTTTATTGCAAGTCAGTGGTCTTATATTCAAGCCACATCTGGAGGGTAGTGTGGCCTTGGAGAACAGCTGTTCCGTAATTCCAGGACAAGTCCCTTTTCACCTATGTGATGTCCATTTAGCTATAGAATAGGCAGTAGAAGCTGTTATGTTTTGAGCTGTGTCAGTCCTGAGTTGATACACTACTACTGTAACTATTCGTATGTGATAATGTACAGCATTGTAATGCATTTTCCCAGTCAGAAACTCACCTCTCCCTTATTACTCTGCAATTTTAAGTAATGAGGTTTGGCCTGCCTTCAAGTTATAATTTAGAGCTTCAATCTATGGACGATCACTTTGATTCTTACCATAACTGTGTTTGATCAAATTTCAGTATTAAGATAAATGTGAAGAACAGTCTTTACTTTAAGGCATGGTTTTTATTTTTTGTGTCTTTCCTGTCTCATAAGCTTTCTGTAAGTACAGACGTAGGTATGTAGACCCAGGCCAAAAAAAAAATGACCATTATTGTTATTAAAATTTCATTTTTTCTTAGACAAATAAACCTCAGACATCACGACCCAATCCCATCAAACCAGCTGCCCAGTGGCAAGATCTGAAAAGATTGGGAGAAGAAAGGCCCAAAATGTCTAGAGCAGCCTTTGAATCAGATAAGAACAGCTATTTTTCAGTGTGTAACAACCCATTGTTTGATTCTGGGGCACAGGATGATTCTGAGGATGACTACGATGCCTTTCTGGATCTTGGGCCTACTGGAATCTCTGAACTCACTAAACCAAGTGGTCAGAGAAGAGAACCCCAACCCGGACCAAGTCATAGTCAAGCATCAAGTGACATTGGCAACCTTGGATCAGAGAGAAAAATCATCTTAGAAGACAGTCATCTTCTCTACTCAGAAACTGACCCCTTGAACCAATCATCTGAAGAATCAGAGACAGAGCTCGAAGAATCTGGTGCCATCGGAGAAGATCAGGCCATTGAAGAAGACTGCTGGTTAGACCATCCTTATTTCCAGTCTCTAAACCAAGAGGCCCGTGAGAGAATAAGCCAGGTTGTTCCTCAGGAGCGGCATGCTGAAGCAGAACTGGGCCTCCTGTTGTATCAACATGAGCCACCAAGGCCAGCCTTCCCCAACCCAGCTTACCCCAGGCCAGAACCTCAACAGGATGGGATTCGAGGGCCTGCTTCTCCTCAACCTGCCCATCCTTTAGGAGAACTGGAAGACCAACGACTAGCAATAATAGATGAGGATGATGACGAGCCAGGGCCGGTCTTCCAAATGCAAGGATCTCAGGAATCCGATTTGGAAAACATGTGGGGGCAAGGAGATCAAGAACTTGTTGCAATATTAGTTAAAGAAACGGTAAGTTTAATTTTTCCAAACAAGTAACTAGATAAATATTTTTCTTTCATTAACCTCCCCCCCACCAAAAAAAAAAAACCACCTGTTTCCTAAAGATTTTCTTATGAGGCATATATCTAGATGTATAGAAGAGAGACGCTCTCTCTAAACACAGACAACCTTGAACCAGGATCCCATAATCTGTACTTAACTGCCAAGAAGACTTCCAGAGATCCAGCTACAGATTGTAGGTGACCTCATGCTCTTTATCAACAGCCTCCCACTCAGTTCCCTAGAAGACCCTGAAGTGTGATTGCTTGCATGGTCCCTTTAAGCAGATGTACCTGGATCATCTGGAGCTGTGCTGTCCAATAGCTGTCAGCCCCACATGATTCGTTTAATTTGAACAATGAATTTAAAAGCTGTTTATGTATATCCAGTTGCATTAGTCACATTTTAAGTGCCCAGTAGTCACATAGGGTAAATGGTTGCTGCTGTTCACAGCTATCAAATTGGCCCCTCATTCAGGATGACTCCATAATAGAGGGGATCTGAGTACCACAAAGTTTTCTTGACTGCACTCTTTGGAAGCTGTTTGAAGGTCTTCCTGCATGGAAACACTGTGTGGGTTCTAACCACCAACATTTACATTAGTAGTAAGTTGCAAGCATATCTGTACATCCCAGGTGCCTTAGCTAGAAGCCACCATATTGGAAATAGACAATTTTTTGTCATTGGGCAGAGCCCTATTGGGTAGTATTGATCTAGAAAGTAATGTGTGGTTGTTGTCTGTTGGTGTTTTATAACGTCTCAACCCTGTTTTGCCCAAGGTTTTTTATCTGGCCATTAAGTTGCTTATTTCTTAAAGGTGAGCACCTTATTTGTATTTGGAGTCCATAGGTCTGGGCAGACATACCCAATTTTGTTGAAAGAGTAAGAATGGATATGCCCGATGGGAATAAAGGGCCCGTTGATCTCTTAAGCCTTTCTAGTTTCATATACTGTGTAGAGATAAACCCAGGAGCCTAGTGTGAGTTTTAAACCAGGCATAAAGCTGCTTCTCGAAACTTTTAATCATTGTGCATCTTTTTTTTTTTTTTTAACTGTGTTTTAAAAACTGTTCTAGTGAATGAACTATAATGTTATGCCTTTTTAGGAAGCAAGATTTCCAGATGTAGCAAATGGATATATTGAGGAAATAATTCATTTGAAGAATTACTATGATTTGAATGTGTAAGTATATCGCTGTCTTTTGTTTTTACATTAGCTTTTTCTTGTGAGCAAAATGGTTTTCCATTTAATTTGTGATACTGATTGCAATCTCTACAGTGTCACAAGTTCTCTTCTGTGTCCTCCCTGTGTTTGCCATTTTGTCTTTTTTCTTTCCTGTTACTTTCTCCCTTCTGGGTGTGTCTCCCTGGGCAAATGCTTCCTTTTGATCTCACATGGTTAATTGCTCACCATTGTTTAAATGATTGTATTAGCAGAGTTCTAACAGTCATAACATGATGAGGCTTCAAAAAGTTTGTGGAAATTTTCCATTTGTTAGTGACATTTTTACGCAAATCTTTGGAAGCCCTTTCATCTGAAGACTATTTCCTAGACTTTGTAGGTACTCCCTAGTTATTGAATTACGGGGTTTCAGTGTTCAGAGCAGTGTGATTACCTGTGTTCTGGTCAAGATGTTTAAAAATACTTTTGTCTTATAACTTTATAACAGAAAGTGTTCTGCTTGTTTGCAGAATGGATAGAAGCATTTCTTTTCTTTTTTTTTTAATTAATTTTTTTAGTTTATTAGGTGTTCATACAACTTTTTTCTTTTTAATCATTTTACTAGGGGCTCATACAACTCTTATCACAATCCATACACACATCAGTTCTGTAAAGCGCATTTGTACATCATTCTCAGAACATTTTCTCTCCACTTAAACCCCCGGCATTAGGTCCTCATTTTTCCCCTCCCTCCCCGCTTCCCCCTCCCTGGAAGCATTTCTGTAGTTAAGTGCAATCAAGGTCTTCAGAAACAGAAGTAACCTCAAGTGGAGGGCCAGGGAGAAAAGTGTCCCAATGAAAAGAAATGCAAAAAGAAGTAATTTTTTTCTCTCACACTTCTCCTAGAAGTGAAATAGTATACTAAAATTAAAATTTCAAGCCTTTAGAATAGAATTTTTAAACTGCAACAGAAGAGGTAGTACATGGACTCTAGCCCTGAGACCTCCCTATTCCCACCTCCTGGGTGCCCCCAAGCTAACCAGGAGGGCAGGGTGTGGCTGACATGAGCAACAGGACAAAGCTGAGTGTGGAAACTAGGCCCTGAGCTGAGCTGAGGAGGCTGGGAATTTTGTGATAGCTGACTCAGCCACTTTATGTGCCACTTCAAAATGTTCGTTAGATCTCACCACCTTTTACTTGGAAATCCCCTCATCTGGCAGGCAGTCTGCTGTTTGGCTGCTTCGCTATGACCCTTCACTCACATTATGCTGCTCCTGAAATTAATTCTGGGGAGCGGCATTTGTCCAAGGAGAAAAAGGCTGGACTTTGGCAGGAGTGCATTCTCCTGGTAGCATGTCAAGTCAGGTCAATTAGGAAATAATATGAAGAGGCCACATTTGTGTTTCCACGGGCTTTCACCTTCCCCCTGATCCCCCCTCCCCCAACAAACATATTCCCTCCTCAACCCCACGCACACTCACACAGCCTTTATCCTGGGACGCAAATATTCATGAGTTGGGTTGCAACTTATTTCTATAGAGAAGGGAGTATATTGAGGCCCCCTTGTGTAGTGGTTACTCTGCTCAGCTACTAACCAACTAGTTGGGGTTTGAAATCTCCTAGCTGCTCTGTACAAGAGAAAGCTGGTCTGCTTCAGTAAAGCGGAAAGGATAGGGAACTCTGTGAGATCATCTGTTCTGTCTTAAAGGGCCCCTCTAAGCTGGAACAAACTCAGTAGCAGTGGGTTTGGATTACAGTTTGATTTGTTTGTGTTGGGCCCTTGGCATTGTTCCAGTATTTAATCAGGCTGTGGTGATGAAGAGGAGAGAGAGCTTAATGATCAGAGAGGTGTACAGGACTCCTGGAAGTGATGGTGAAGAAAAGGTGCTGAGCTTGCTGAGGGTTTGGGGCAGGTGAAAGAGAGGCTTGGCAGCAGGGCCTTGTGAACTTTCCTCTTCCTGTTCCAGTCCCACCTCTCTGACCTTTTCTCTGTCCTCCTCTGCTGAGCTGTCTTCATACTTCTGTTTTACTGTTGTTGGGCCCCACTAATGACATGGTAGCAAGAGAAATGGGATGAAGGGCACCACGTGAAAACCACGGTGTGGCCCCTAGGCCAGGGCAGGCTCACCTCGATAATGTGGGAGCAAGGTAAGTTGATGCTTTCTCCTTTATGTGGCGAGTGCCACACCTCTAGGTCTGCCCTCCTTACTAGACTCAATTTGTGCCACCATTTATCTTCTGCCTTGGTTTTGTTAGAAAATAAAATCCAACAAACCATTGCCATTCATTCAATTTCAACTCATAGTGACCTTATATGGGCAGAGGTCTATCTCATAGTGTTACTAAAGCTGTAATCTTTAGGGAAGCTGGTATTTCTCCTGTCGAGCAACTGGTGGGTTCAACTGTCAACTTTGCCTTTCCAGCCGAGTGCTTATAACCACTTTGCCACAGAGTTCCTTAGAGCCTTTACCAACTCATAGGAACCCTATAGACCCCTTTGGGGGGTCGAATGACCCTTTCACAGGGGCCGTCCGATTCATAACAGTGGCAAAATTACAATTATGAAGTAGCAATGGAAATAATTTTATGGTTGGGGGATCACCACAACATGAGGAACTGTATGAAAGGTTCATGGCATTAGGAAGGTTGAGAACCACTGCTATAGAGTGTTTCTGAAATTTTAACTGTACAGGAACACACAGCCTCATGTTTCTCCTTCAGAGTGGGTTTGAACTACTAACCTTAATATTTCGCAGCCTACCTAAGTACTACCAGGGCTTTCTATGAAAATATATAGTTGGGCAGATTTGGCCTGCAGGATGGTTAAAATATATTTAGCCCGGGTGATGCATACATGGATGTGTGCTTTGTCCTTACCTTGGCGTGTTCTGTGGTAACAGTAAAGAAACATGGCTATGTACATTCAGCCTGCAGTGAGATAAATGTAAAGTAACCCCAGTTGCTTATAGAGTTGTATATTACAAAAAGGGCCACAAAAGTAATAATGAAATTACAGCAGCCTTTTCTGTTTCCTTCATGGACTTTTAGCAAACTTTTAAATTATGAATATAAATGGGTGCTTTCTCCCCACTCCTTTATTTTTCATAATTTTCTTGACAAACATTAAGTACTATCTGTCCACATTCTCCAGATCCACACCGTTTAGCTATTAGTGTTTTCAGGGACTTTGGCACCTAACCAACAGTAAACCTCAGAGAAGCCTGCAGTCTGCATGTGCCCACTGCTTGTTCAAGTAGCAGCAAAAGTAGAATGTCCGTGTCACAGGGCTCTGTCTGTCTTGTCTGTTTTCATTTTGGGGGGCTGCAAAAATTTAATTCCTTGGTAGGCCTACTGCACTGTGTGGGGACTGGAAACAGTATGACAATAACATCGTTTGTTGTTTCAGACTTTGTAATTTTCTCCTGGAAAACCCAGATTATCCAAAGAGAGAAGATAGAGTCATCATGAACCCCAGCAGCAGCCTGCTCGCCAGCCAGGATGAGACGAAGGCAAGTGCCGGGCTTGATTTGCTACCTCCGCCTGGAAATGGTTTACTCCTTCCGCGTCTGCTGGTGAGGCGAAAAAGTGCTGAGTCAGGGCACATTTCTACACATGAGCAGGGAGAGAAAGGATAGAGTTGGAGAGTTCAGAATGAGTACAAGGCTTAAGTCAAGCAGTATCATTACAGAATCTTAGAAACCTTTGTTAAATAGAAATATCAAAATGTGAAGCTATTCTTCCTCAAGAGAGCCTACATTTAGGTATGTACACTTCGGAAGATGGTGTTTCCATCGCGCTGATCCTTCCCCAGAGAATTCTGTGCTCTTGGATATGCACGACATCGAAATAGCAGTTTAGACATTTTTAAGGGACTTTAGTCAAGCTTTTTTTAAATAGTGCTTCATGAGTGGGAAACAAAAAAAATCTGAAGGAGCAAGAGCAGAGCTGCTGTAGGGTGAGTGGGGTAGTTCCTGGTGAAAGCCTCTCAGGGCAGCCTTTGATCTCCTTGAAGAAAGAGCAGGTGCATTTTTGGGTGACAACAGCATTGCTTGGTTATAACTTTTCCTAGTTTTTTCTCACCAGTGCAGTTTTTTTTTTTAATCATTTTATTTGGGGGCTTGTACAATTCTTATCACAATCCATCCATCCATCCATTGTGTCAAACACATATGTGTATTTGTTGCCCTCATCATTCTCAAAACATTTGCCTTCTACTTTAGCCCTTAATATCGGCTGCTCATTTTCCCCCTCCCTCCCCCCTCCCTCATGAACCCTTCATAATTCATAAATTATTATTCTTTTGTCATATGTTACACTGTCCGACACACCCCCCCTTCTGTGCTGTCCATCCCCCAGGGAGGGGGCTATACTAGATTTTTGTAATCAGTTTCCCCTTTCTACCCCACATTCCCTCCACCCTCCAGGCATCGGCAGTTTTGTGAATTTTCTTAAACCTTCTAATACATCTTTGTGACTATTTCCTTCAAGAAAATCTATCCAAGTTGACCATTTGGAATCTCACAAAACAATTGCCATCACCTTCTAAGCTGACCTCTCTGACTTAAACTGGCCAACCAGATCCCCTCTGAGTTTACTTTATTATTTTTTTAAGGCACTTGAATAAAACTGAGACAAGTGTGTTACTGAGAGAACTTGTCTATAGCCATCCACTGATTGTAGACCTATTTAAATATATGTTTTATTTGAAAATAAATCCAAGTATGTGTAAACTGAAATCCTTATAGCTATATTTGTTTACTTACCCTTGCCACCTAAGATTTCCCAACTTGATGCACTTTGAATCAGAGCTTTTTCTGTTCAGCCCAGTTTAGTCGTGACTGAGAAAGCAACACCAGGAAGGACCCACATTTTTAAATGTTGCTAAGCCTTAGTGGGGAATAACTCGTGAACTGGAGCCCTGTGGGCAATTTGATTTAACCCTGTTAGAAAGTAAGGGTGGGGTAAGTGTTGCTTAGCAACCAAACCTCTTGCCTGCCTAAATGGAAACAACTGTCCTCTCATAAGCCCTTCCACAGAACTGGTGTCCTCCTGCCTCTCTTTGAAGGTGAGCTGCTCACCACAGTCCTGTTAGTAATCTAGTCTCTTGACCCAGGCTCTGGGAAGACTCCCCGCAAGCCCCCTACCGGCTCTGCTGAGTTGCCCATGTCTACTTGGACCTGCAATTTTTCCGGCTGGTGTTCCAGGTCACCCAAAGTTCTGTGTTCTGGTTTCACTTCCTGGGCCATGGCTGGACCTATTTTGAATACTGTGTAAGAAGACTTCAAAACTTCCTGAAAAAAACTCTGCCTGCTATTAACCCCACTTTTTCTATCAGTTTTTTGAAGCCCCCTTAGATTTACTATCTTTCATTGTAACTGTCTTTCCTTTCCCACAAGTACACAGATTTTTCTAGTCTTTACTCCTGCAAACTAAGTGCCCAAGATGGAACAAGTGGCCAGAGCTAGAATTCCTTGTCCTAACAGTTTTATTGGCATATAATTCACGTATCAAGTGAATTTCAAAGTATGTAAATTGGAAACATTCATACACTTAACCTTCAAGTACTTCAGCATGCAGCTAGTTAATAAGACTTCAATATCTGCTGATGGCTTTTTTCCCCCCTTTTCATGTTAAGATTCATGTACTAGAGGGCATACACCTATGTAACCAAATCCTCTGTAATGATGTGTAAACCATTTGATTTTTAAAACCTGAATTATTTCCCTCATTGGTGATCAAAACTAGCAGTTAATGTGTTCACAGATGAGTTCAGACCTGTGTCACTGGAGTCAATTGCTTGACCTTCCTGTTCCCCATAGGAGGGCTTCACAGTCTCTCTTAATGTAATCTGTAGCAGAGGAAGTTGTCAGGAAGTTTCTGAGCATTTGATGGAAAGAAGATGCCCGAATCATTGTGCTGAAATTCCCTCAGTACCTTTGCACCAGCTCTGGGTTGCAGTAGAGTCCCTGAGCCTCCTTCATTCATTACTGTCCCAGACTGGATACTTCCTTTCGGAGTGGCTCTGACACTGAGGACACCTATTCTTCTTTCCTGTAGTACTTGATTCTTCAGGTGACCCGCCTCCTGGGGAAATCCCTTGGGAAATGCCTTGTCTCACTGATTTTTTGTGCTTTCTTATTTCAGTTGCCTAAAATGGACTTTTTTGACTATTCCAAATTGGCTCCTCTTGACCAGCGATGCTTCCTCCAAGCTGCTGACCTCCTGATGGCCGACTTCAAAATGCTCAGCAGCCAGGACATCAAATGGGCTCTGCACGAACTCAAAGGACACTATGCAATCACCCGAAAGGTGCTCTCCGGGGGCTTCCTTTGGGCTGGCTCACTCTTGACTGCTCCTTCTCAGGAGAACTGAGTAAAGTCAGCTTGTGGAAATTGGGGTGGGGTGTGGAAGCAGCCTAAGGATTTGTCAGCAGGGTAACGAGAAATAGATAAAGGGATTTGCTGAGGTGAAGAGCAGCAGGAAAAGAATTAATAGCTTAGAATCAGGGACATTGTGGTTTGGCCCTACAGATGTGGAGAGTTACCCATTCTGCAGTGGAATGTGGGGTGGGAGTGCTGGAGTGTGATGTTCTGCCCTTCCCCGATTGGCTTTCTGACATCAGTGTCACTCAGCCTACTCCCAAGCAGCCACCTTGCCAGTTACATTAGGTGTGGTCTATAAAGAGTGGTGATTTGATGCAGAACAGAGTTGGCACCTGCTGGAAGCAGTAGTGCTTAACTTCTGCCTCTTCCCACCCGGGCCCTAAGGATTTCTGTCCCTGACTCTGAAGGGTACTGTTCTTAGCGAAGTCACCTGAATAAAAGTTGAGTGCCTTTCTGGCCCTTGTGTACTCCTTTTGCAGAGATTTGTTGCCGTTTCCTTTCTGCTCTCCGGCTCTTCGTTTTTCTGGCACTGACTTATTTTCCAAAAGACAAACAAGCATGGAGCGGTTATTTGTTTTATTTTAGTTATTTATCTATTTATTTGTTTATTTATTTTTAAGAGAGTGAACCGGTTCTTTATTTAGAAAGGTGATCCAGGCGAAGTCCCTTGGTCCAGCAAGTAGCTCAGGGAAGTCTTGCCCAGTGAGGAGAGTGGTGGACTTTTAAAGCAGGAGCTGAGGCGGGTCCGGTTGGGGAGGGGTTAGGGCTGCAGCTGCTAGGGATTTTCCACTGTGGCTTTGTTTCTACTTAATCTAACCATCCAGCCATTGCAGGTGGGGAGCAAAGGCAGTTATTCTTGCAGCCAGTTCCCAGAATTGTCCATCAGCTCCGTTTCCTGGTACTGCAGGGAAAGACTTGAGGCCCAATGCAAACCAAGTTGCAATAGTTCTCCATCATCACATCCTGATAGAGGGTCTTCTTAGCAGGGTTCAGGAGCTGCCATTCCTCCCAGGTGAACTTTACAGCCATGTCATTGAATGTCAGTGATTCCCTTGTGGGGAGCTCACTCAGCCTTCTCAGTCTCTATTTGTTTCATTTTATTGTGGTTCAGGTGAAAGGTTATCAAACAAATTGGTTTCCCATTCAGTAATTTATACATAGATTATTTGTGACTAGTTGCATTCTCCTCAGTGTGTCAGTGTTGTCCCCACTTCCACCCTGGGCTTCCATTTATTCTCCCAACTCTCCTTTTCCTGCCTTCCACATTTTACTTTGGGGTATGTGCTGCCCTTTTGGTCTCATGTACTTGGATATTTTGAGGAGCACATGTCTCACAGGTGTAATTGTTCATCTTATCGGCCTATTTGGCTGCAACGTTACCCCTGAGAGTGGGTTAAGTTCTAAGTGTGAAGGGTGTCTAAGCACTGTAGTCTTAGACCCATGAGTTTGTGGACAGTTGTTCTGATCTTCTGTAAAGTGTGGCTTAACATAGACTCACTACAAAGCCACATTTACCTGAGGTTCATCTTCTTTCAGATAAGATCCAGTGGGTATTTGAACCATTAAAGTCATTCCAAGGTACCAGAGAAAAATGGGGAACAAAATTCAAATTCATTAAAAAAATGCCACTCATGGGTCTTGTTGTCAAGTAAGTTTACTGAGATATTAAAATGTGAAGTGCTTATTTCTGGGCAGTCAGACAGTAAAGTGAGCCTTGACTAGTAGTCAGGGTGAGATGTGGGAATTGCCTATGTTTGACTTGTTCCTTTTTTTCTTTCATGCCAGTGATCTTTCCCTTTCTCAATTTCTAGGCCTTTTCTGATGCTATTAAAAAATGGCAGGAACTATCACCAGAAACCAGTGGGAAAAGAAAAAAAAGAAAAGAAATGAATCAGTATTCTTATATAGATTTCAAATTTGAACAAGGTAATGGCCTACTGTGAATGTTGCTGAAGTTGTGTGAGTCTTTATTGGGCCTGGGGGGTAGGTGAGGCTGGAGGCAGGATGCTTACAGCCTGGCACACCAGGGCAGGCTCCTACAGGGGTGTCATTCTCACCACACAGCCTTTATCAAGTGGGTGCGGTTTCCAGCTTCCTTCTGTCTGCTTAGAATACACAGTTGACAGAAAAGCTGGGGTACAGTTAGAAAACTGCAGAGAAGTGTCTGGACAGCTCTTTACATTTAGGGGGAAACTGGTCTTGGAGATGGGTTTAAGAATTCCTTGTATCAGTAGGGACATCCCATTGCGCTCGTGACTGATTGTAGAGCGATCACTTCAGAACGATGGGTTGGGGATGTTTCACTTCAGAATGGACTGGGCTCCTGCACAGAGCTCTTGAATCACCACATGTTCAAATTCTGTTATTTTCACGGATGGCAGAATTGCTGAAAGTCCTTCCCAAGAGATAAAACAGTTGAACTTTATATCAGATTTCATCTGAGCTGTTTGTCTTTGAGAGTTCACTATAACTTTTTGTAGATTGTTATAAATATATATCTGCTCCTTGCCTTTTCTCCTTGCCTATTGCATCTCGACTGAGCTACATAATTGAATCCCATGAGTGACTCAGGGAAAACCCATAAGGTAATGGTGGAGTTGGTGCTCTACTGGGTCTGTGGCTTCTAGGCTATGATCCTAAGGTCCTTGTAGCTTGGCTTAGGGTTTTTATGATAGGATAGGATACCTTCATGGCCTATGACAAATGGAGAATAGTAAGGGCAATGTGTAGGCAGTCCACGCTTCAGCTGTGAATGGATCCAGAGCTTCCACCAACCATCCCTGATATATATAGTCTTTACTTCTGACAGGATGGAGAAAGGGAAGTGCTGCTTTGCTAGGCGACTAGTCTGTTCCTTTGCTGGTCAGCTCTGTCTTTTAGAAAGGTCTTTGTATGAAGCCAAAATGTCCCTTCCTGAAATTTCTTGCCATGCTTTTGATTCTTTCTTCTGTAGCCACTCATAATATCTCTTTCCTCTTCACCACCCTGATTGCCCCCTCTATCTGTCCTTTGTCTCTGTCTCTGTCTCTCTCTGTTAAACTTTATACTGTGAATTAGGTGAAGACTTGCAGAGAGAAGCAATATCAGTTTGACATTTAGTAATTCTTAGACATTTTATTTCAACTCATCCATAGCAATCCCCTTAATGTACCCTCACTTACCCTGCTTTCTCCCCATGTTTTCTATTCATTCCTAACCCTATGACCATTGTCCTTGGGTAAATGTGATCTTTTTCTAAGCAGCTGCCAATGCTAGCTGGTCACCATCTAGTTCTGATCTCAGGGTTGTGGAAACCGATGTGATCCATTGGACCATTAGATTTTCAGTTTCCATTACTTTTTTCTCTGGATGGGGAGAGACTGATAGTTGCATGTTAGATGGCTGTTTACGAATTTGTAAGACCTCGGTTGCTACAACCACAAGTAGGGTGTAGAAACATTGGCTTTGTACACTGTCATGCCAATCAACTTTGGGGTCCCCTGAGACTGTGATACTGAGCTCTCAGGCCCAGTGACTCATTCCTTTAAGGAGTTTGCTTATGGCTAAGCTTTCACAACTTTGATCACTGCATTCATGGATGTATTTGTAGCAAAAGTAAATCACATCTACAAATATCTTTAGCTCACATATATTCATAGGTGTCTGGTCCTGTGTACTGATCACTGCAGTGGTCTTTTACAAGCTGAAATCAGTTTAAAAATAAAACACTATCACCTGCAGCTGGACGGATAGGGATTAGGGGGCGGGAGTGATGGCACACAAATTGCCAATATCAAGAATGAAACAGGCTGTAGATTTTGTAGTCATCCAGCATGTCAGTGTATCTTTGAAAGTTTGAATGTACAAGTCCAGACATAGTGCTCTAAACGAGGACTGCTCACTCTTTAGAGACAACAGTGAGATTGACAGTCTGTACTGCAATGCATACAGACTAAGACTGCCTTCCCCTTTTCAAGTAAAAACCTCCCAAACATTGGCTCACTCGAAGCCTTGGTCCCCTACCACTGCTTTAAAGTCACATGCCAACCCCCTTCTGAATTTTGCAATACTTGATGCTTTGCTCTTTTATGTCATCTTACTCGTTATTTGGGGTGTATCCCTTCCATTACAGATTCTTAAACTGCACTAGTATTCTATTAAAAAACCGAAAATCACTGCCATCGAATAAATACTGATTCATAGCTGGAACCCCCACCGAGTTTTCAAGATTGTAACTATTTACGGGAGTGGAGAGCCCAGTCTTTCACCCTCGGAGCTGCTGGTGCTTTTGGACTGCCAACCATGAGGATCACAGCCCAACTCATAACCACTACTCCACTAGGGCTCCGAGATTATCTCTTTTTAAAAAATCATTTTATTGGGGCTCACACAACTCTTATCACAGTCCACACATACATCACCTTTGTAAAGCACACTTAGACATTTGTTGCCCTCATCATTCTCAAAACTCACTTTCCGCTTGGGTTCCTGGAATCAGATCATTTTCCCTTCCCCCTCCCCCCTCCCTTATGAACCTTTGATAATTTATAAATTATTATTTTATCTTACACTGCCCGGCATCTCCCTTCACCCACTTTTCTGTTACCCATCCCCCAGGGAGGAGGTTATATGTAGATCGTTGTGATCGATTCCCCCTTTCTACCCCGTCTTCCCTCCCGGTATCACCAAAGACAAGAAATTAAAAAAAAAAAAAGACAAGAAGTAAATGCACTTCTTTAACAAATAGTGGTTTAATATTTGTGACACAGTCTTAATACACAGCACTTGGCTAAGTTTCCTTCAGCTATTCCAGGAATTTATTTTTGCCTTTCCAGTTTCTTTTTTATCTAGACATTGCAGGGTTTTATGTTACTTAACTACCAGAGGGTGACAAGGTGATCTCTACATGGCTCCTTGTATGTATGACTACATGTTAGGCTGCAAGCCCATGGTCAGCTATTTGAAACCACCAGCAAAGACTGGGCTTTCTACTCCCATAAACAGTTATGGTCCCAGAACCCCACAGGGGTCGCTATGAGCCAGCATCAACTTGAGGACAGTGAATTTGGAGTTGGTTCTGATCATAGCAGTCTTCTAATATAAAACTGAGCGTCATCGTAAAAAGAAACAAAAGCTCTAATCACCAGCAGCAAGGACTAAGGGACGGGAGCACACACACTGGCAGCATCAAGAATAAAATGGGCTGTCACTGGAGACCCTGCAAAGAACAAAAGGCTAATAAAGTGCTGTAAGACACTCCCATATGCATGCTTGAATTTGACAGCGAACTTGAAATGGGCTGGTTCCTCCAAAAACCTGCAAACTGTAGAAGTATAATTGTCAACCTCCCAGAAATCTCCAGCCCTAGATCGTTTCACCAGAGAATTCTACTAAACAATTAACACCAATTTGACATCTTTTAGAAAGTAGAAGAGTAAACACTTTGGAATTCATTTAAGGAATACAGTGTTTTTTCTGAACAAAAACACGACAAAAGTCCTGGAGATCAGTATCCTTCAAAATATATAGGTGGAAAAAATCTCTTAACAAAATAATAAGATGGTACAACTTTTCTTGATATGATTGAACTATTGAGTTATATGTGAATTATGTGCCAATGAAAGTGTTTAATAATATTAGCAAGAAAAAGTGGACCATGACCAAGACCTTATTCCTGGGATGTTGTCTTAACGAAGAAAAATCAGATGATCATTTAAATTGATGTAGATAAAGCATTGTACTGGTGGTACTGATGGGCACGCTTCATATGGATTAGCACATTTATAGATCGGCTACCCCTTAAGGGTATATGTTTGCTGCTCATGATCATTTCATGGATGAGGGAAAACTGAAGCACAGGGACCTTATGCAGCTTTCCAGAGATTACACAGCTAGTAACAGTAATGATTTCAACCCTGGCAATCCTTACCAACCATACACCCCTAATGATGCCACTGACGTGCATGTAGCACACCTATCAGAATGATAAGAAAAACTGATGATACCAAATTTTGTTAAGGGTGGGGAGCAAGTAGAACTGGAACTCACATCCATTGCTGGCAAAGGGAGGTGTAAATAGGCAAGGCCATGTTGGGAGACTGGCTCTCCTTACTGACACACAGATATGATCAGTAGTCTCAATTGGTCATCCATACCTAGCTCATGATAAGCCCATGATCAGTATCCTGCCCTCAGTCATCCAGTACCCAGCTGAAGGGAGGACCTGTAGTCACCAATATGCACTACAAACAGACTTATTTGTAACGCCCAGAACTAAACACCTGTCCAGCAGCAGTAGACTGGAGAGTGGTTGAGTTGCATTCCCACTGTTCAGGCACCTACAGTGCCTGGTAGGGCTCAGGGAGTAGTCAGGAGTCCAGGTGTCTCCCAGAGACTAGGCTATGCTCTAGAAAGTGGGGGGGGGGGGGGGGGGGGGGGGGGGGCGGAGCACTCTGGACCAAAAGAGACTGAAGACTGCTGTTCTAGATTCCTGGCAACAGTTGTCTGCATGATTGTCTCTGTCTTCTAGGTAACATAAAGATAGAGAAAAGGATGTTCTTTCTGGAGAATAAACGGCGGCACTGTAGGTCCTATGACCGACATGCCCTCCTCCCAGCCGTGCAACAAGAACAGGAATTCTACGAGCAGAAGATCAAAGAGATGGCAGAGGTGAGCAAGATTTTGGCCATGTGGACTGGGTGTCTAGCGGTGGCTTGTCTTTTATTCTCACTAAATAATGTCATATCACAGGGTACCTGTTTTCCCAGTTTTAGCAGACTGTATTGTCAGACATGGTTTCCTGCTGCCCCCCATTTTGATAGGTGGAATGTGGTCTCTTAGTCTGTGTTGTTAATTTGCTTTTCTCCTATTAGTGAAATTGAGTGTTTTGTCCTATTATTAAGAGTCATTCTTCCTCGTGCTTGGAAACTCTATAGCTGCGGCTACTCTTTCTGTCAGCGTAGTTTTCACAGTCCTTTTTTGTTAGCAAGATGATACTTTTTTTTTTTAATCGTTATTTTTGGGGGCTCATACAACTCTTATCACAATCCATACATACAGCAATTGTGTAAAGCACATTTGTACATTCATTGCCCTCATCATTCTCAAAACATTTGTTCTCTACCTAAGCCCCTGGCCTCAGCTCCCCATTTTCCCCCTCCCTATGAACCCTTGATAATTTATAAATTATTATTTTGTCATATCTTGCCCTATCCGACGTCTCCCTTCACCCACTTTTCTGTTGTCCACCCCACCCTCCCTCTACTCTCCCGGTATCGCCACTCCACCACTGATCCTGAAGGGATCATCTGCCCTAGATTCCCTGTGTTTCCAGTTCCTATCTGTATCAGTGTACATCCTCTGGTCTAGCTGGATTTGTAAGGTAGAATTGGGATCATGATAGTGGGGGAAGGAAGCATTAAAGAACTAGAGGAAAGTTGTATGTTTCATCGGTGCTATACTGCACCCTGATTGGCTTGCCTCCTCCCCACGACCCTTCTGTAAGGGCTATTCAGTTACCTACAGATGGGCTTTGGGTCTCCACTCCACACTCCCCTTCATTCACAATGATAAGATTTTTTGTTCTGGGTCTTTGATGCCTGACCCCTGATCCTATGAACACCTCGTGATCACACAGGGTGGTGTGCCTCTTCCATGTGGGCTTTGTTGCTTCTCAGCTATATGGCCATTTGTTTATCTTTAAGACCCCAGACACTATATGTTTTGATAGCTGGGCACCATCAGCTTTCTTCACAGCATATTGTTTTTCATTTGTATTCAGCACCTCATCTACATTTTATTTAGAGATATCAATTACAATTCCCTGAATGTAACAGCACTTCCCATTTTATCCCTGGGTCCCCCATTTCCATTCATCCTTCTTTCCTGCCCCTTCCTACCTCCTGGGCTTTGTTTTTTTGGGCAAATGCTGCCCTTTTGGATTCTCAGTTGAATATCTAGGAGCACCTTCTTTACAAGTGTAACTGGTTTTATAGGCTTGTTTGCGGTTTGACTGCAGGGTGATCACTAGGGACTTTAAATTCACCTTGGGTAACTCTTCACACTATGTCACTGAGGAAATGACTAGCAACTGTAGATTGATCCTGTGGAACAAGTAATAAATTGTTTGTGGCATCTTTATTAAATGTATTTTCCTCTTTCGTTTTCCTTTTTTGTTTCTTAGCACGAAGACTTCCTGCTTGCCCTGCAGATGAATGAAGAACAGTATCAGAAGGTGGTTTGAAATCTCACTTCATTGATTCTGAGTATTGTCATGGGCTGTTCTCTCATTACCACATTGTCTCAGTCATGACTGGCAGCTGACTATAGAGAGGCTGGTTCTGCTGGTGCTGGGAGATTTGTCGCTGTGATCACTTTGTACACTAAACAAAACAAAACTCTCTAGACCTAAAAAAGCAGATGAGATCAGCCAAACAGTTTGATGATTCAAAAAGATAGTATCAAAGATGCAAGGAGAGTGGTTTGAGGAACTTTATCTCATAAATGTAAGCATAGCACCAGAAGAAATGCTTCTTAATCTAGTATGTTACTTATATGACATGTGGCTTTAAATAGGCATAAACTGTTGTTTGGTGCCATCTAGCTTATTTCGACGTTTGACTCCAGGGAACCCATTAAACTGCCCCATAAGCATTTCCTAGACTGTATCTTTCTAGGAACAGAGTTCTAGGTCTTTTTTCTCACTGAGCCCCTGCAGAGGTTCAAGCCACCAACCTTTTAATTAATAGCCAAATGCTTAATCCAGGGGTCTGCAAACTTTTTAAATAGGGGGCCAGTTCACTGTCCCTCAGACCTGTTGGAGGGCCAGACTGTAGTTTAAAAAAGAAAACTGTGAACGAATTCCTGTGCACACTGCACATTTCTTATTTTGAAGTAAAAAAACAAACGGGGCAAAAACACCCGGAGGGCCGGATAAATGTCCCGCGGGCCGCCGTTTGAGGACGCCTGGCTTAATCGTTTGTGTCAGCAAGGCTCCCAAACAGATATAGAAAATTCTTTAATAAAATAGATAATAATGAATATGAGAAGCATATTTTGTGCCTTTTGCTATATGTTTTAATGCTATCAGTGTTGTGCCAGCCTCTTGAGTTAGACTGTTAAAACAAAACAGCCTGTCATGGTTTAATGGTGCCTGGGGGTGCTTTTTACCTGTAGAATTTATTTGTGAGGGAAAGAGGCTGCGACTACCTGAATGGTATGGTGGTCATTTCATGTATGTTTCCATCTACTGGCCTGCAGGATGGCCAGCTGATTGAGTGCCGCTGCTGCTATGGGGAGTTTCCATTCGAGGAGCTTACACAGTGTGCAGATGCTCACTTGTTCTGCAAAGAGTGTCTCATCAGATATGCTCAAGAGGCTGTCTTCGGGTCTGGGAAGGTAAGGCAATCGCAAACTGTCCATGTAGCAGAACCCAGCCTGGAGTCAGCGGACACCAAACACTTCACATGCTCATGGGAGAATTATACCATGGTGCAAATACATCTTCTCAAAGTTTCCCTGACTGGAATGATTCTGTTAGTTTCTTTTCAAGGGATCCTGTAACTCTTTTTTGTTTGTTTGTTTGTTTTAAATCATTAGGGGCTCATACAACTCTTAGCACAATCCATACATACATCAATTGTGTAAAGCGCATTTGTACATTCATTGCCCTCATCATTCTCAAAAC